CCCCCCCCCCTACCCCACACACACAGGGACGCCAGGAAGGGGGCTGCTGTCTGGGAAGGGGCTAAGGGAAGAGGTAGAGGGCAAGGAGCAAAGGGGCTTTGAACCCAGGTCTCTGGGGGAGGATGTTCTCTAGCAGGGAAGAGGTCTGGGTGGGAGTTGAATCTAGGCATCTGGGGGGCGTTTTCTACCAGGGAGGAAGTTGGGGGGGGTGGAACCCAGGAGTCCGGAGCATGATTCCTAGCAGGGAGAGGGCTGGGGGTTCAATAGCAGGAGGGGGGATCTCTAGCAGGAAGTGGGGCTTGAACCCCGGAATCCAGAGGTCATTCCCTAGCAGGGAGCAGGGGTTGGGGAGTAGATGGGCCATGGTTGGCAGATAGATCCAGATTCCTGCAATGCCGAGACTGTTGGGAACAAAGGGCCTTTGTGTTCCCGCTGGGACTTGGGCGGGGGGAGGGAAGGGAAGCTGGAACATGGGCACAAGGCAGGAAAGGGAGAGGTGGGACGAGAGGCTGGGAATGGGAGACCCCAGCGCACCCCACTCGGGGTTACAGAATGCCCCCTCCCCGAGAGACCTCCAACTGGGCAGGACCAGGGCTGGCCTAGGAGACCAGGAGAATCCAGCTCTGCAGAGAATGGGGGCGGCGGGGGCGTTCTCCCCTCGGATTCAGGGCTGACCCCAATGCCCCCAGCACAGTGCAAGGGATTCTTACATAAACGGCCCCCAGGCCTCACCCCACGTGTCTGCATCTCAGCTCCCAGCGAGGGATCCCTCCAGAAACAGAGGGAAAGCTGGCTGCAATTGAGCTGCTAAAGAGAAAGCCGGGGAGTCTGCCCTCTTCACAGCCTCAGAGGGGAGAAAGCGCCCCCGAAATCCTCCCTGTAACTGCAGAGGACAAAGGAGACCCCAGGGACACCAGATGCAGCCTGCAGAGGGGCGCGCCGGGACCTTCCGCAGTTCCCCTAACCCATGTTAAATCACAGGCTGGAGTAGCGGCAGATCCAGATCGGCGTCTGCCCATCCCTTCCAGAGCTAGGGACAGAACCCAGGCGTCCTGGCTCCGTGTTGCTCACACCCAGATGGCTCCGCCCCGTGCAGGGTGACGCGTGCAGCCATGCTGCTCCTGCGACCTGGAAGCAAACAGCTCCGGGGTCATATGGAAAGTGTCAATCGGGAGACACCTCCGCAGGTTCGTCTTTGTGCTGGGGGTGGGGGGAGCTGGGAGCCAGGACTCCTGGGTTCTGTCCCCTGCCCTGGCATGGGAGTGGGGTCTAGTGGTTAGAGCAGGGTGGGGCTAGGTGCCAGGACGCCTGGGTTCTGTCCCAACTCTGGGAGGGGAGTGGGGTCTAGTGATTAACGCAGAGTGGGGCTGGTTGCCATGACTCTGGGGTTCATTCCCAGCTCTAGCAGGGGAGTGGGTCTAGTAGTTAAAGTGGAGTGGGGGTGGGAATCAGGACTCCTGGGTTCTCTCTCAGCTCTGGGAGGGGAGTGGGTCTAGTAGAGCAGGGGGACTACAGGCAGGACTCTCTGGCTCTCAGTTACTGTATCAGGGGGTGGTCCCCATGCTACGACTGTCCCCCTGCTCTACTAGACCCACCCCATTTTGCCCCCTTCTCTCCCCACAGGCTCCCTGTCTCTTCTCCGGAGGCCAGCAGGGTGCAGCTGGGAGTTTGGGTACAGCTCCTGGAGCCTTGGCCAGGCTGAATTGGTGCCGTGGGTCATGACCAATGACTTGGACATCTTCGTGGGGAACACCACGCTGATAGATGAGGAGGTGTACCAGCTCTGGCTGGATGGGTACTCAGGTATGGGGATTGGGGGGCTGGATGCCAGGATTCTGCCCCGGCCTGTGGGGGGAATTAGGGTCTAAGTGGGCTAGAGCAATGGGTGACTGGAGGTCAGGACTCCAGGACTCTACCCCCAGCTCTGAGAGAAGAGTAACTCTGGGTGAGTGTTTCCCTCCCCAACAACCCATCTGTGCCTCAGTTTACCCTGTTGCTTTGCTAATGCCAAGGAGGGAAATAGGATGGTTGTCCCATTGACCCTGTCCCCCGATAGTGGGTGGTGATAGATGACGTCTTGCCCTGCCCCACTCCACGCATTGATCTGACTTCTGAGCCCCTTACCCCTCCCAGTGAGTGATGTGGTGGGGGGTTGACCCTGCTGACCTCAGCCCCTTACCCCTCCCAGTGAGTGATGCGGTGAGCCTGCGGCTGCGCAGCGGGATCCTGGAGCAGACGGGGGCCACGGTGGACGTGCTGCAGAGCGACACCATGGATCATTACCGCACCTTCCACATGCTGGAGCGCCTGCTGCACACCCCCTCCAAGCTCATCCACCAGCTACACTTTCAGATCCCCCCCTCCCGCCAGGCCATGCTCATTGAAAGGTGGGGGGGTATGGGGCTGGGAGAGGAGGGGGTTGGACCCAAGGCTGGAGGGAGGCCAGACGGAGGCCAGGAGGCTGGGTGGGGAAGTGACGGGGACAAGGCCAGGAGGGAAGGGGGGAGGTTGGGGAAGTTTGGCCCAAGGCTGGGGGGAAGGAAGGGAGGAGGAAACTGGGCCTGAGGCTGGGGGGAAAAGCTGGGCCCAAGTGGGGGGGGCGGAAGCCCAGCCCATGGCTGAATGGGGGAGGGGAAGCTGGACCAAGTTTGGGTGGTGTGTGTGTGTCTGAGGTCCCACTGGGGGAGTCTGAGGCTCTGGGGGCACAGGGGTGTCTGAAGCACAAGTGGAGCAGAGAGGGGGCAGCTGAGGTGTGTGGGGTACGGGTGTCTGAGGTGCCCTCTGTCTCCCACTCCTGCGGCGGCAGGTACTATGCCTTCGATGAGGCCTTCGTGCGTGAGGTGCTGGGCAAGAAGCTCTCCAAGGGCACCAAGAAGGACCTAGATGACGTCAGCACCAAGACAAGCATCACCCTCAAGAGCTGCCGGCGCCAGGTATGGCTCAGCCTGGGGCTCCCATGAGCCTCTGGGGCAGCAGTTACCATTAGACCCAAACTGGCAGCTCTATGAGTCTCTCAGACAGTGGCCCCTATCAGGTCACAGGCCAGGGGTTCCCATGAGCCTGTAGGGCAGCAGCTACCCTCAGGCCCTGAGCCGGCAGCTCCCATGAGCCCCTGGGGCAGCAGCCTGTCGGAACATGGGCTAGGAACTCCCATGAGTCTCTGGGGCATCAGGACACAGGCTGGGGATTCCCATGAGCCTCCTACACCATGACACCTATCTGGACCCTGGCCAGGGGGATTCCCAGGATCCTCTGGGGCGGTGTCTCCCATCAGGCCCCAGGGTGGGGGCTGGCTGGCTCAGGGTGGGGGGAATGGGATACGGGGCCCTTCCCCTCTAGGGCTCTGACTCTCGCTCCCTCCCCCCCCCCACTGGTGTCCTCCTCAGTTTGACAACTTCAAGCGGGTGTTTAAGGTGGTGGAGGAGATGCGGGGGTCCCTGGTGGAGAACATCCAGCAGCACTTCCTGCTCTCAGACCGGCTAGCCAGGTAACAGGTCGGGGGGTACCAGTGGGGCACACCATGATGTAGCTCTGCCCCTAGAGTGTCTCTGCTGGGTTGGCTTGACCTCTCCTACACTACACAGAGCCCTCTGCTGGGCTAAGGCTCCCTGGAGCAGTGAGGCTGGAAATTAACATCTCCTTAGGATGCCGGGGGTCCTGGGGCAGCTCCCTCTAAGCAATCAGCTCAGGGTCTCTGCATGCTCAAGCAGAAACGATCACATGACTCCAGGATCTGGAATCCTGGGCTCGAGCCTGCAACCCTTGGACCGTCAGCTGGGCCTGCTCAGC